AATCTCAATAGATGTTTCTTGGGCTTGAAGGATCTATGCCAGTATTTATGGAAATGGCTCTTCTTCTTATGGGAATATAATGCATATTCCTTGCATTTAATCTTTAGATAAGGCTTCTTAGAGGCTATTTGTAACTTTAGTTTGCATTTGAGCAAAGACTTTAGACATTGTTGGTGCCCACAAAGCTTATCCAACATGGATAGAGCTAATTAATATATTTCTCTGAGAGTGATTTGTGACATATCTCTCTATAATGTATTGATAGCTTTATATAACTCTGGTTGAAGCTTATCTAGTAAAGAAGTGGTAAATGTATGTTTGAGGTTAACATCATTAGCACCATTTAGCACATAATATTTTCTAGACATTCGTTGAAAATGCTTTTGTAAATTCTTACGATCAAGTGAACAATATTTCATCTTAAAGAACTCCTGTCAATTTCTTCTATCTATAAGATTGAAATTACTAAGAAATTCTTTGTGAAACATCCTAAGAAATGAGGTAGCATCAAACCGAGTTGCTTGAATCTTTTAGTACTTACTAAGGTTTTGAAACCATTATCTCCAGTTTCCAATTATCCTTGAGAGGAATTCTAAGAATACCTCTCGTAGGGTTATATCTGGCCTGGTCATTTGCAAGTCAATCCAGGCTCCAAACTCATGGAATCTCTCTCTCTACTTGTGTGGAGGTAGATCATTAAATGTAAACTAAGGTCTAGAAGTAGGTCTGGAGCTATGATTATTTTATTTGTTCTTGTTAAGCTATCTCCTATGATTCTGACTCATCATTAAGAAAATTTATCATAACTATTTCAGCTTGAGGTTGGACCATTGCAATCTTTGATAGGTCAACCAAATGTTGTTCTTCTTTAAAGTTTGCATACTCTATTGAGACTTCAATTGAAACAAATAAGTTTATATCTTCTTGGTCAAACAAAACCTAATCAAAGATAACTTTTCTTATAGAAGCAATTGTTCTTAAAGGATATGAGGGATCTACAATCCCTTTGGCTTTACCAGTTGTAAAGGGTGGCATTTGTGGCATGGTGAAGAAGGTGTTTTGATGGTTAAGGGTTTTTCAAGTGATTTAGTAAAGGATTATGAGGCTTAGTTTTCTTATGGTTTTGTATGAGGAGGTTTCTAGTAAAGAGGTATATTTTCTAGATAAGATGGAGGCGTTTTAGGTTTTTAGGATGATTATTTTTGGGCTTTTTTTAGAATAGGGTAAGACATCTTAAAAGCTTTACTATAATCACTCTTAGTTGGGTAGGTTAAGTGTATGGAAGTATATGAAGGGAATTTTCTGGTCATGGTTAAATAGGTGGGATAGGACTCATAAATGGTCATGATTGGTTCTATGTCAAGTCTGGTTCTATTTGTTACAGTTGTCTTTTAACTTCAGAAGTTTATTTTCTTTTCTTTTTTAAAGAAATTAGGTCCAGTATACCTCTCATCAATATATATTTGAAGTTCTGCATCCAGTTTCTATTTTGGTCTACAAAGTCTGTGATAAAGACTCTTGACTTGATCATTCATGTGGTTCACCTATAAAGATAGGTTATCTATTTTTGTTATTAGATGATCAAGCTTTGAGTCAATCCTGTGTAAGACTTTGTTTTGGCTAACAACATTTTAAAATTGCTATTTAAAATTCTTTCATTGGTAAGACAGGCTTAAGACTGCCTTGAGGAGTAACTTTAGCTTTTAGAACAAAAGATCTGCTAGTGACCTTTACTCTCTCACTAGTTCTGCATTCAAGGAGAGGAAATTCTTTCTCATAAGGTCTCATCATGGCAATATAAGGCAAAGTTTGTATTTGTGCAAAAAGGAGTGTTGGAATTATAGGTTCAAGTTTTTCCAATGGGAGAAAGTCTTTATAGTCAAGTTCTTTGAAGAGTTGAAGGAGAAACCTCCTCTTTGTGGGAGGATTTAGAGGTCCTATCCATCTTCTTCTGTTGATTTGTTTAGGGCCATGATCATCACCATCATTCTCCTCCTCCTTTAGAGGACGCTTGTATTTGCAAGGAGATATAGGTCACTTAGGCCTCCTACTTCTTCTAGAATCAACATATTCTTTATCGTCATTAGAATCATTTCAAAGATAGTAATCATAGCTGGGTTCGTACATTTTTAAGGCACAATCTCAGATAAAGTGACCGTTGATATGGAGACAAAAACTAGCTTAGTCTTCAATGTAAATCACTCAATTGGAGGACCTCGCTTGCCCCTTATAAAGGCTAGGGCAATTGACAATATGTTTTTAAGGATTTGGTTTGGATCTTGAGTTCAGGCCTCCTATAGACTGATTTGATAATACCATCTTGGAGTTTGTAGAGTTCAGGAGGTTTCGTGGTGTGAACATATTTTTGAACAACATGAAATTTTCTTTCATAATTTTTAATCCATTCCAGCAGCATCATTTGGGCAAGTTCTTCAATAGGAAGATGTCTCGAGATCTAAATGATAGACAGGTCACCTAGTCTATCTATAACCATATATAAAGCATCTCTGGTTGCATTAGGGAAATTAAGATCAAACAAATGATCTTGAAGCCTAAAGATTATTTGGTGGTGAAGAGTAGTCATAATGGCTTCTGGCTATTGCTCAGCTCCATAGATCTGAATTTGAACCTTTAGTCTTGTAAGGAGACTAGGATCTGTAAGCTTGATATTAAAATAAGGGGCTATAGTGAGTATCACAATTCCTTGGCTGAGAGTAGTTAGCATGTCACCTATCAAGGCATTTCTATATGACTTGTAGGTGGAGTCAAATAGGGCTACTCTTGCTGTTGGCATGCCATTTCTCCCATGAAGGGTTAGGACCAATCAAATGGCTCCAATATGAAGATGTATATACCCTTGGTTGATTCAAGTATTTATAAAGGATTGAGCAATCTCAAGAGTAATATACTGTTTAGCAATCATGGCTGGGATGCCACACTGGTCAAGGCTAGAGGTTTGCATAATCTCTTTTGGTTGAGGGCAATTGGTGTGAATCAAAGATTTGATTCCTCGAGTGAAATAGTTTCCTCTATGGTATAGTTTGTAAGGGTTAAAAAAAGAAAGTTCTATGGAAGGAACACGAGCATTTTCTAGTACAATCAAGTATTCTATAACGTTTTCTATTTTTCTAGAGAGGTTTTTTTTTTTTAACCAAGGATGGAATATTATTAAAGAAAAAGGCTAAAAAAAGTCGAACAGGTTCAAAAGAAGTGAAACTTTCTAGGATTTAACTCATAATTTCTAAATTCTCCTTACTCACTATTTATTAATAATATCTTGTTTCTGTCGATAAGATTACAGACTTTAATACTAAAGAAAAAGAACTTACAAACTGAACTTGATTGGAAATGGTATAAATTCATTTGTCTGGTATCTTTCAATCAAAATACTTAATTGAAAAGAGAAAGGAGGTTAAGACTAAAGAGCAAACAGTTGAGTCATGATATGAAATTTAAAAAATAATGCGTCACATTATTCATTGCTAATAAATAATATAAATTATTTCAGATTTTATATTTTATATTAATAAAAATTTTATTAAAATATTAAAAAATATTATACTACAAAAATAACTTCTTAATATGGCGTCAAAGGACATGTTATTAAAAAATGGTGTGAAAGGACAAAGGTGAAGTTCTTAACTGCCCCATCGACTGTCTCAAGATGTGCACTTGACTTTTAAATTATAAGATTATTTTGAATTCACACATCTATAACTTCCACAAGAAAATTTAATCCGAAGGCATTTTGCACACCGAAGAGCTATATCTAAGCAAGTGATAAATAATTAATTACAGTATTATTTTTTATTTGGCCAAAAAAATTAAACTATTATTTTTTATAGAACTAATAGACGAAGGAATGCAATTTAAATTCTGCATCACTAGCAACATGTGAGGAAGTATGTCCTTATATCAATCTTTAATTTTTTTTTTCTAACTAAACATTCGTGAGATTATTTTTGAATATGATTTTTTTTTACTTAATGGATGCAACATCTTTTTCAAGAAAATGCAATATTGTCGTTAGTCTTTTTGACCTTTGGTATCCAGAGGAAAAAAAAAAAGGAAAGGATAATTTATAATTTTTTGCCCTAATTTTTAGTTTTTACGTTGTTTAATATGCTTGTCAAATCTATAATTATATTTCTTATATAGCAATCAGCTGGTTTCTTTTGTTTGTTCTCTTATTAATTATTAATTAATTAATAAATATATATTCCCCTTGTTTCTTTCCCCTTAGATGTATACATATATGTGACACCATAAAAGATTTCTACTTCGGTTTTCTTCTTCTCTATTTCTAATTCAGTGATTCGCTACTCAGTCTCAGGGAAAAGAGGTGCGTGTGCGTGAATGCTATATATTATTGTTAAGGTTTGGGTTTTAAGAATAGAGTAATAAATTAGTTGGGCTTTTTGTGTTTTGGTTTTGCTAATTTTGTTAAATAATTTTTTAAGTGAATTGGGTTTTACTAATTTTGATTGTATTCTCCATCTCTTTTCCTCTTCACATCTCAATCTTGAAATTAAATTTTTATTAATAGTTAAAATTTAACAATTTCACAAAATTATAATTAAAATCTGAAATTAAAAAAATAAAAAAATAAATTACTTAAACTGTAAAAAAAATTAATAAACAGTTTAGAATTGTAATTAAAAAACCATTTTATAAAATGTTAAATTTTAACAATTCAAAATTTGATTAAGTGTTGAGATGGGAGGTGGAGAGGCAGTCGTAGTGAAAAGAAAAAGAAATGAAAAGAAATCAAGTCCAATTATTTTACAAAACAATAGCTCATGGCCAAAGAGAGGAAAAGAAGGTTATTATTAAAATTCAAATCTTGTTAATGAACTCTTATTACGAGTACTTCTAAACTAAACATAAATATGGTGGTAGTTGATTTGTTCAGAGGAATTGAATATATATATATATATATTAATGGAAGGAGATAGAAAACGTGAAGAAGGAATGAAGTTGGAGTCGTTCGAGAGCTGGGCCAAGTATGGGAGGGCACTGCGGGAGACACCGTGGAGACTAGCGGATCGGGTGGCGGCGCGGTCCATGGATGAGACGGAGATGGTGGAGGTGAAGAAGCGGAGCGAGCACGAGATGAAGAAGACGCTGACATGGTGGGATTTGATTTGGTTCGGCATGGGAGGAGTGATCGGAGCAGGCATCTTCGTCTTCACCGGTCTCGAGGCTAAAACCGATGCCGGCCCCGCCGTCGTCTTGTCTTACGTCATCTCCGGCATGTCCGCCATGCTCTCTGTCTTCTGCTACACCGAGTTCGCCGTCGAGATCCCCGTCGCTGGTATGAGTTGTTATTGCCGCTTTCATCTTCGCGAATACGTTAGAGGACAAACTGCATGTTCTTAAAAAAATATGAAGAGAAAAGAAAATTGTTTATTGCTATAACTTTTATTTGCAGGATGATGGAATTTTACTCCCTTAAGTTTACAAAAGAAAACTCAATTCATGTTTTTTTTCATGAGAGTTGTCTTAAATTTTTAAAAGAAAATATATTTTAAAAATTTTTAAATGTTAATAAAACTTAATAATTATAATTGGAACATTCATTGAGTCATTAAAATTAAGCCACTCACCAAATTAAACCCAGACATCAACCTATGCTCTATTGCAAATAAAGGTTAAAGTGTATTTTTAATTTTCTAATTTTATATAAAAATTTAGTTTGTTTTTTAATTTTATAAAATATATTTTCAATCCCTTACCCTATAATTTCAAATGATTTTTTTATGAATTATTATTATTTAAAAAAAATTAAATTTAACATGTAAATATTTAAAAATGTTTTATTTTTAATTAAAAGTTTAAAATAAGAATTTCTTATTCATAAAACTAATGGGTTTTAGTGTAAAAGGACCAGACTTAGTTTTCAAAACACGGCCAAACGTGCACTTTCAACCAAAAAAAAACAACAACGAACGAACGAACGAACGAAAGAGACCACCGATATTCGATGCTTCGTTTGATTCCAATTGCACCTGGGCTTCCAAAATGAGATCAATAATGGGATGGTTGATATTCCATGGCGTTAATCAGGTGGCTCCTTCGCCTATCTCAGAGTGGAACTCGGCGACTTCGTGGCCTTCATTGCCGCCGGCAACATCCTCCTCGAGTACGTCATCGGCGGCGCCGCTGTCTCCCGCTCTTGGACATCCTACTTCGCCACTCTCCTCAACCAACACTCCGACAGGTTCCTCATAAAAGCCCACGGCCTCACCAACGGCTACAACCACCTCGACCCCATCGCAGTCGCCGTCCTCACCGCCGTCGCCGTCCTCACCAGCTTCAGCACAAAAGGCACCTCCCGCCTCAACTATGTCGCCTCCATAGTTCACATCATCGTCCTCCTCTTTATCATCATCGCAGGCTTAACCAAAGCCAACCCAAACAACTACTCCACCTTCGTCCCCTTCGGAAGTCGCGGCATCTTCCAAGCCGCCGCCGTCCTCTTCTTCGCCTACGTCGGATTCGATGCCGTCTCTACCATGGCCGAGGAGACGAAGAACCCCGGAAGAGACATGCCTCTCGGCCTTGTAGGCTCCATGACCATCACCACTCTCATATACAGCCTCTTAGCAGTAACACTCTGCCTCATGCAGAAGTATTCTGATATAGACGACAAAGCTCCATTCTCTGTCGCATTTCAAGCTGTAGGATGGGACTGGGCTAAGTATATTGTAGCAGCGGGAGCTTTAAAGGGAATGACAAGTGTGTTGCTTGTTGTGGCTGTAGGAGAAGCGAGGTATCTCACACATATTGCTCGTACTCATATGTTGCCTTCATGGCTAGCTCGAGTGAATCAGAGAACAGGGACACCCATTAACGCGACAGCGATTATGATTTCTGCTACTGCTATAATCGCCTTCTTCACTGAGCTTCATATTCTAGGCGACCTCCTTTCGATTTCCACTTTGTTCTTGTTCTCCCTCGTGGCTTTGGCTCTTCTGGTACGTCGATATTATGTCAGTGGGATTACTACAAAGTTGGAGTTGATCAAGCTTGTCGTGTTCATTGTGATTATAATTCTGTCTTCTGTTGCTTCTGCTGTGTACTGGGCAAGAAGTGAAGGGTGGGTTGGGTATGCAGTTACAGTGCCTCTTTGGCTTGTGGGGACGATGGGGATTAGGGTTTTAGTGCCAGAAGCGAAGAGGCCGGATGTTTGGGGGGTGCCATTTGTGCCATTTTTGCCTTGTGCATCTATTGGGATCAATATTTTCCTTCTCGGATCGATTAATGTGGCGTCGTTTAAGAGATTTGGTTTGTGGACTGCGATATTGTTGGTGTATTACTTCTTTATAGGGTTGCATGCTTCTTATGACGTGGCTAAGGCATTGAAGGAGAAGGAGAAGGAGAAGGAGAAGGAGATGCGGTTGGGGGATAAGACCCACCTGAAGTTGGATGAAGAAAATACAGTTCCTTCACCAGCGTAGTCTGGAAAATGAGTCGGGTTTGATCATTAGTTCAGTTTTCAATGCCTTTTGGTTTTGTACTTAATTCCGTGAAAAGTTTCCTTCTTTTCATATTTTTCGTTTCCATTTTATCTCAACTGTATAAAAAACATGTCTACTTATATATGGATTTCAAAATGATAAAATCATTTGACCATTAAAAAGTTTGCATGCCCCTTGTTACTTTTGTACGTTGAATTAAGAAAAGGATTTTTCCTTACTTTGTTGGCATTCTTGTACAGTAAACTAAAATGTGCTTGTTTTAGGCTGTACCAAGACCAGGGAGCATTCTAGTGATTTTCAACATAAAACCTAACATAGATCTACATGTAGCTGCTTAGATTTCCTGCTCATTTCTTGGTCTTCATGGGAAGTGGCCGATGAAACTCATCACTTCTCAATGATAAATTAAACAAAAAAAAAAGGTGTGCCAAAAGATTTTGGCATGAATTCCACCAATTTCATAGTTGTTCATAAGCCGCAATAGAGAGAGCTATATCAGGCTCGACAATTAACATAAAACCCTGCCAAATTTCTCATGAATATGAATGAGAAACATCAGAGCACAATCACATTGTAGACCCAACCTAAAGGAATAAGATTTGTTGTATTAGATTTTGCCGTTATTTAATTGAAATAATTGGTTTCCGGTTCAAGAGTGTTCATTTTCTCCTCTCACCTCTCACATAAGATCCCTTTTCTCACCTGTTCCATCATCACACGCGCAAAGACACATGCTTGAGCCAGCTCATCTTAGCATGATATTCTACACAACAAAGGAACCTAAAAGCTTCCCAAATGTAATTAATAAGAAAAATGATTCCATCCATGAAAATAATGAAAATAAACTTTTGGGTACTTCTCAGCAAAATTTATGATACTGGCTCGCTAATACCAACTCAGTACTTCACTGGATCAAGGATGTCCAGTTGGGAACCAAGCTTTTCCTCAGCAATCTTCTCGGCTTTTGACCTTAATTTCTTCAGTTGCTTCTTCTTCTCATAAACCACTTGTGCTCTCTCTTTTCTCTTCTTTTCCAACTCCTGCCAGTAAGATAACAATAAGATGATTCAGCACACAGCCTCACACCAGATAATAAAAGGGAAAGCAGAGATCGAAGAATAGCAGACTCTCTCAACTTTCCACCCCGTAACACTTCAATTAAAAATTGATTTACCTTCCTCAATACTTAATAACCAAGACAATAAATTATGACGATGCAATTGTCGTGGTGAAACAAGTCCAATACGAGTCATTGTACCACTACCATTAATGAAACTCAAACTGTAGGAGAGTACATTATAGCAAATGGCACTAGTAGCTGCAGAAGGAAAAAACAAAAACCATAGGAAAGAACAGCAAAGCAAGAACTTTAACAATGGCCATTGAGAAGATATTTCAGATCAAGAGAAAACCCGAGGGGCCGCTCATGCACAAACACTGAGAGAGAGGGGGGATTTCTTTCCTAATTACTCACGGGTAAATATCAAAACACCACAAACTGTGAGACCCAGTTGGTTCCTTAAGGGAGCTCATACAAAGAGGGTTTTTGACAAATACTGTAATGCCAGCAGTTACCATTCATTATGGAACTTTCAATTCAATATTGTTGAATGAAAATTAAGTATAGGAAAGGAGCAACAAGTCACCAAAGATTCATTGTAGTGCATGCAACGGACCACAAGATTTATTGCACATTATGCATTAAAAACTCAAATTCAATTAAACCCCCCCAATCCAAGAAAAAAATCCCAAAAATCACAAGGTATCAAAAGTGGATGTTATTGAAATAAAGTGACAGTGAAATTTGAAAGAGTTAGAACATAATCTGTTAAGTTACCCACATGTGAAACCTTCAAAATTAAAAGAGGCCTTGGCACTATCATGTAAAAAGTGATAGACTCCTCGTAAATGATTTTACATTTGAAATTGGCTCACTCAGCTGAGGACCAAAACAAAAATTAATTCAAAGGCAAGCTCAAGAAGTAGCAACTTACCCTAATGGTATCATAATAGTTCCAACCAACTTCTGATGACAATCTACCAACCAAACAGTATTTGTGTCCTTTCTGAAGCCTCAACACCCTGATTGCATTTGATTTTAGTTCAAATTCATAAGACAAGCTCGACAGATAGAAATGAGATATAACAAAAATTAAGAGCTTAAACAGAGAAAACATTAATTGCAAAGGATTCAGATTGGCAGACTTACTTTAAAGCATCGGGGACAACCATCCTTTTCATCTTGTCATAAGGGGGAGGTATGCCCTCAAATACCTTCAATCGAGCAAGTGCAGCTGCGCCGCGCTTTGTCTTATGTGGCATCATTCTATAAATAAAGAAGCAAATCAGCGTATGGCTAGAAAGAAAGCGAAAAACGTGAGCGTACACAGGTGCAATCTTTATTTGAATCAAATAAGGTTCTGTCCAATGGCTAAGTCAACTATATATCCGGATTCAATATATAAAGTGAGAAAAAAATAATAATAAGTGCATAGCAAATTTGAATTCAAAAAATGCAGTGCTTTTTTTAAAAAAGAACAAAAGAGTTAAACTGCTAAGACCCTGCTTCATTCTCTACTCCCTATCCAGACACTAAAGCAGGAAATGTGCTTATCGCATGCAAAATGTGCTTCCTCAATCCAGAGTATCAACAAAAAATCAAGCAGACAAAACTAATGCAAATATAAATATAGGCAAGGGAAAAAAGAAAGATAGTCACTGACCCACGGACAGTGCGCCAGAAAATCTTGGAAGGAGCACGGAAGTGGATGGGACCATGAGAAGGCTTGGTGTTCATGCGCTTACGGAGGAATCTCATGTACTTCATCTTCTGACGGACCAAGCCGCCGGAGATGCATATCTCCTCGCATCGCACCATAACAACCTTCTGGCCGTTGAGCAACTCCTTGGCCACGACCGAAGCGAGGCGGCCCAGCATGTGATGGCGAGCATCCACCACAACTCTCTTCGCGCAGATGCCAGAACCTGACACCATTTTTCTATCCCTGCAAATTGCAAAATGGAAAGCAAAAGATAAAAGGAAGACGAAGCTAGCTAGGGTTTTCAGCTGGGTCAGACGTGGTGTAGCCCCATACTAAGGCCCAGGTTTCATAAAATTAATTTTATGGAGAAAATCAATCTTTAGATTCTGGAAATTTTTTAAAATTTAAATTCTGTCCATATAATTTTTTTAATTAAGCCTTTATAATTTGATCTATTAAATTTTTAATTCTTGAAAGTTAAAATTCATGAATTTTCTCTTTATAAAATAAAATTTGAGCATTTTTATACATTTATGAAATAATTATAGAATTTTTATAAATAAAAATTAATTTATACACAAACGAATGCGTTTGAAAATAGAGAATATAAATTTAAACATTGCAATGATATCTTTTCGAAAAAAAAATTGAATAAAAAATTAATATGCAAAACTAAAATAATAAATGAATACCATATTCTCTAAATTAGGCAAATTTACTTTCATGCTATAAAAAAAATTATTTCCCACAATACTACACTTTTAATAATATTTACCTAGATACTACAAATTTAAAATTTGACCTGATTAGTATTGAGTTTTAGAATTTTTTTTATCAGAAACGTACATAGAACTTGGCTTCTATCAAGCCCAAGTTTTATTTAATTTAAAAAAAAATTAAATATATATCTCATCCCCTCTCTCTTCAATCAAGTTCTAATCAATTATCTAGGCAAAATTTAAATTATACAATCATTATTCCTATATCATTAACTTCATTAAAGACTAAATTGAAGTCCCTAATCAATTGAAATTGAAATGTTAATGTCTAATATAACATTAGACACTTGGATTAACCAAATAAATCACCATGAATCTCTCAAATCATTAAATGAGATGTTCTAAGTGATACTAAGTCATCATAAATAAAAAATAATAAAATTGCTAACATATTTTATGTTATACCATGAGTGATAGTAATGAATGACACTAAATTATTATAACATCTCTATTTTTACTCCTCAAATCTAAATAAAAAATTTATAATCATATAAATATTAAAGAAATTGTATTCATTAAAATACATTAGTAGAGTTTAATTTTTAAGATGTTAAGAAAGTACTATAAAAATTATATAATATGTGTGTGGGGGGAGGGTTTATAGATTATTAATTTTTGAAAAGAAAAGAAGGAAGAAGATTTTTTTAAGAAAAAAAAAAAGAGAAAAGTGAAACCAACCAACTTATTTTATCATTTCCAATCACATTTCTTCTTCTATGCGCATCACTTTCTCTTTCTTTCTTTCTATCTTCCTCTCGCTCCGTGCACAGTGAGAAATTAAGGTAGAAAGTGAGCAAAATTTTAAAAATGGGGCTCCATAATAGATATCTTGAGTATAATCTTAAACTTTTTCAGATTATATAAATGTTCTAAATATTTTTCTTAATCACATACTTTTTCTGGTTTTTTATTTCTTGATGATAAAAAACCTAAGGTTTGATATAGTTTGAGTTTTTAGAAACTTCAATTGATTATTTAGTTTTTAATGGAGTTAATGATGTTGAAATAATGATTGTATGATTTAGATTTTGCTTAGATAATTGATTAGAACGTGACTGAAAGAGAGGGGATGAGATATATATTTAATCTTTTTGAAGTAAATAGAATACAAGCCAAATTCTATATCTGACGAAAAAAAAAAAAGGCTAAAGTGAGAGATGATGGGACAAATATTTTTTTTATGTTAAATAGAACTTGGCTGGAAACTCGATACTAATCAGACTAAATTTTAAATTTGTAATATCTAGATAAATATTATTGAAAGTGCAGTATTGTAGAAAATAATTTTTTTTATAGCAGGAAAGTCAATTTGCCTCAAAATTATAACATAGTATTTTTTTTTAAAAAAAGTCAAATTTTATTAAAGACCAGAAAAAAGATAAAAGCTAAAGAACTTGGGACAAAGTAAATTCTAGCACAATGACCAAAGCACTGACTTTTCCATGCTTCCACATCTCCTTTCCTTCAGCACATCCGATTCGTGGAAGCTATGGAAATAATTTGCAGTGGTGGCTAGTTTAAATATTCACCCGCACCCACCATGGATGGAGTGAACATATAAAGCAACAAATTTCAAATCATTTTTCTGGTTCATTGACACCCCACCCCATTTTTACAAGCTTATCGGTAAATATCATAATCTAAAATGGTAAGGATCAAACATGTGCACTATTACTCGTAAATAAAACAAAACCATATTAACTAAGAGAATTGAGAACATACAAGAATGCCCTCTCCATCCATTACAGATGATGAAAGATGAATCATACAAAATGCAGTAAAAGTTCATTCTAATTGTCCATTCGCAATTTACAAGACTGACAAACAACTGAAATAAAAGTGGTCTGATCTCGTGAGATACAACCGATTTCGCAACACCTAGCCATCGTCCCTAATAAAACATATCAAACAAAGTTCTATACACAACACAACAATGAACGAGTAAACTGGATAATTACATCAAGCAAACGACGTGCTCCTGGAGACCTGAGACACAGCATCTTCGAACTGGTCATCGTCCGCCTTGTCGGAGCTCAAGCATGGAGGAACAAACGATCTGAAAATGAGTTCCATGTTGGGAACTTCTTTGAGATGATGGGCCGCGACCTCGAGCGCCGGCTTCTGAAAAGCCGGGTAAAATTTCTTGGCACAGACAAAGCCAAAGAGTAAAGACAGTAATGGAAGAGGGATTAACAATCCTGTATAGTAGAATTTCTGGATTCCAAAGTAGCCCAACATGGTAAGTTGGTATAGTATCAAAGAGGCTAGTATACGGTTATGAATGTGAGGCCACATTCTTCCGTAGCTTTCATATGCTGGAACATACACTTTCAGTGCCTGTTGAATGATGATCACAGCAATTAAGTCAATAACACAAACAATCAAATGTAGGAATGAGTGCTTGGATTTAGATCTTGAGATCAGCTCAGCTGTGAGACTTAAGTTGTCTAGATTTGATATAGACAATTCACATTTGAAGTTTACCTGATTTCGCAGTATAAGCCATCCAAGACCAAAATACATAACGCCAAAAGGGATGATCAGAGGCGAAATAACAGAGTAACACAGAACGATTGTCACGATCAGCATATCGGCAGGAACTCTGGTTCCATAGCCAAGATCTCCAGGAAACCATGCTGCTTTCAACTCTGCTTCAGTTTTACACAGAAACTTTCTCTTTAGATGGTAAATTATCAAGGGAACTATACGTGACAGTTCCATTCCATAGCCAACGAAAAACCTGACACAAACACAAGAAGAAAACTCAGTCATGTCGGATTTTCAGCTAAAAGTACTCGTACGCAGATGTATATCAGATAGGATACAACGTCGTGTGTGTTGAAACTCTCTTGAAACGTCAAGAAAACTGTTATAACTTTAAAAAGCATGATTTATAACTTTAAGAAAAGGAAATGATATCTTATTCCAAGTTAAAGGGCATTAAATGTCATGATGAAACCTTGTATAAGACGAGATAGCAAGTCCTACATTGCGTACTATGAGATGCTCAATATGACTCCCACCTCAACAGCTAACTTTTGGGGCAAGTTATTTGTTGTTTCCCATCCCACTTAAGTGCCCATCATGTCATTTTTCCTAAAAGAGATGTAAAAAAAAAAAAAAAACAGAGAGAGAGAGAGGAGAACAATGTCTTACTTGAGAGCCACAAAGGTCAAAAAGAATGTAGCATTGTCAGGAAGATTACTAGCAAGAAATTCCACAATTTTGTTGGGGTTCTTCTCAATGGTCTTGAATGTTCTGAACAAGGTTCCACTGATGGTAACTCCAAGGAAAACGTTCAGCACTGAGAAGTAAAAGTATTTCCCTGAAGCTGCCCTAACTGCATGACTTTCAGTTGGAATGCCTTCCAATTTTGAAAGAAAATACAGAAACTTGGGAAGCAAAGCCATGAATACTATCAGAGCAATCTGAGGAAGGTATGCTTCCAAAACTGTCTTGAGAATTTCTATCTTCACAACTGGCTTCAAAAATGGCAGTAACTTCACCAGATTCTCCAGAGTTGTAATTGCAGAAATGAATGTAATTGGAATCATGTAGAAGAATATAGTCAATGCCACAATAACATACACAACATACTGCCTCACTTCTCTTTCAAAATACCTGAGTTTCAAATTAGTCCATATAAGTTGGCATGGTTCAGGCGAATCAAAAACCGTCCACGTGTCAACCATTTGTGCGTGTAAACTCTGAGCTGCAGAAGATGCAGCCACTCTGTTGGTGAAGAAAACAACAGCAGCATTTAGCTGCTTTTCTCTGAGCGTGACTTTTTGCTCAGATTCTAGCTTAGGAATGGTTTCACTGATTTTCTCATTGTAGTAGCCTATGCTGTCTACTTTCTCACCAAAAAGACCAAGAAAACCAGTTCTGTTAGTAGGTCTTGTTCCTTCTGGTTTGGCTGCTGTTTTTGATGCTGCATATATTGCTTCAGCACGTTCAAGCTTCTTCTTATACCCTTCTAACTCTTCCCATATCTTGTTCACCTGTTAACCATAGACATGGAATGAAATTAGAAATTATTTGACACACATAATGAAAATGAGTATCAAGAGAAACAGGAGGGGAAAAGTAATTTTGAGAATGAAAAATGGCCCACAGTGATACATTATCAGTGAGTAAAAAAAATTGGGATGAATTACCATGAACTAAAAACATTGTTCAAACTATAGACAGGTTACTGCTGTAAATATTATTATTTACTTTCAAGTTAATAAGTATCATAAACCTTAAACTATTTTGCGAATAGCATCCTAAACCTTGAACTCCTGAAATGTGCAAAACTCCCTTAACTTGTAAAATCCAAGTGCCTGAAACCTTGTCATTAAGTTGGAAAAAAAGACTGTTACTTCTGTAGTTGTAAAGCCGAGTTACACACAAATGCGGCAATCATCTTAACCATTAAAAATAATGACCATTTTCTTCCACTTAACAACAGGATTTCAGGTACTCAGAATTTCAACTTAGTTAAGGCGAGTGTTGCACATTTCAGAAGTTCAAAGTCTAGGATGCTATTCATACAATAATGTAAAGTTTAGGATGTTATTAACCCTTTACTTTCTGTTGTCGTCATCGTCGTCGTGGTGAAGGAAAATTAATCATTTGGCTCACACAATTTTCACTTAATTGTAACTCAATTCCTGAATTTTGACATAATATAACTCAATCCTTAAAATTTCAACTCGGTGCAACTTAGTTACTATAGTTTTAAACATTTAAAATATCAGTCCCTATATTTTGAAAAAAAATTATAAATATTAAATTTATATTGAGATTTAGGAACTAATATTTTACATTACTAAAACTTTTAATCTTTATAAAGATAATTTTAATCTTCAAAATTTTATTCTTTAAAATATAAAAACTAATATTTTAAATGTTTAAAACTATAGAGACTGAGTTGCATCAAGTCAAAATATAAGAATTGAATTACAACTAAGTAAAAATTACAAGAATCAAATGATTAATTTTCCCTTGTTATTATTATTATTATTATTATTTAATAATATATATCCTGATATCTATCTAGATTAAATTATATTAAATTATATATCTAGATAGATATCAGATATCCTGATACATCTTAAGACATGTCGGGTTTCAACCTCTACTTATGTAACCACTATTCAGTTCTTTTTTTTTTTTTGGCCAAAGCCCACTTTTCTGTTGTTAATCATTAAGATAATCAGAGATGCCAATTAGCTCTGTTTCTACCTTTAAGCTATAGAAAGTAAAATAATTTGAACTTTTACCAAACAAAAGGTGAAAATTAGGGGATCTCTATCTTCCCTTTACACAAATTTATATCCTTTGAAGTTAGAAGCAAACGGAGTGAATATAAAATATAAAAAGAAAATGAGTATTAGCGACGCCAATTCTTGTGTTTAACTTCCTCCTACTTAAGACAAACCTTAACATAAAGGATTCAAATTACACTGTTCAATTACTCCTTACTTTCTCCCTCTTTTATTTTAAATACACATTTCATGTCTCAATATATAAATAATCAAACAATTAATAATGAATCATCAATCATCAATAATAAAAAATATAACAAAATATATATCAAGCAGCATTATTTATAAGCTATAAACAATAGGATTAAAGAACATTTTTGTCCCTTAACTATTCGCTTAATAGTATTTGATATCCTTAACTTTCAAGTGGTGCAATTTCCTCTTGAACATTTAAAAATGATGCATTAAGCATCCTACCATTAAAAAAGTTGTCTTTAGCCATTAGTTGACTTAAAGATTACAAGAAAAGATCTCAAAAATTACAGAAGAAGACCCATAAAGTTACACATAAGTATCCTATTAGAAGATTAATATCAATTAAGTCCCCTTAACTATATATAAATAACAAGATACAAATGTTATTTCATATCCATGTAAAAGGCCAAAATACAAATTTGACCAACCATTATTTTAGGGACTTAATCGATATTAATTTTGCAACCAAAGTTAACTTTTTCCAAGATGCCCAGAGCGTTATTTTTAAATGTTGAAGGGAGAAATTGAAAAACATTTTTAAGTTTATAATATCAAATGCTTCTAAAGAAATAGTTAAAAGGGCAAAAGTGCCCTATAACCCTAAACCATATGACATACCTCATAGTTCACATAACACACAAGAAAATGTACCTAATCTATTTACTGATCTTTCACTAAATCTAGAAAATTCACATACATATTGATGTAAAACAAGAAGGGAAGAGGGGAACAGAGAGAAAAAGGAGGGAGAATGCTAAAATTCTTGAAAACTCTTATTCAATAATACTCAAAAAGCTAAAATACAAATAAAAAACCTAGCTCTATTTATAGAGCTCTAAAAATAATAAAATAAAAAAAATTAAATTTAAATCACAAATCTTAAATCTAAATCTAATCTTAAAAATACTAATATCTAAGATAACAATAAAATAAATAATAAATCTTAATTCTAATGAATAAAATCCAAATTCAAATAACCCTAACATGCTTATATCTTAAATAAAACATATTTTTCTTAATTAATCATTATCCCATATTCCATCACACACATATATAACACAGATAAACAAGCGTGACAGTGAGAAATACAAACCTGTTTGTTGTCTGTGATAATCATGGATCTGTAAAATGTGTCAGGATAGATGGCTTTGAAGTACGAGTCAACCTGTTCCTTCCTGGTCTGACCCTGAGGAGCAAGGGGTATGTCCCTAACAACTATAGCAAACTGTTGGGACTTCACTTCAGGAGATTTGAGTGCTTCAGCTCGCAGCCACGACACATGTTTATATGCCTTCCATAACAGATATATCGTCACAAGTGACACCCAATAGGTGGCAATGAAAAATGCCCACAATCTTGGACTCTTTGACTGCACATCCAATGTAGTTTTTGCATTATTATTATGAGCAAATATTAAATGAAATCATTGTATCGTTTCTTATAGTCTGAAGTTGACTAAACTACCCCCAACTTTTGAAGTTTAGGTCTAATGTAGACTTGGCATTATGAGATACAAGTCCCACGTTGAGTAGCTGCAATTTCTTTTTCTTTTTTTTTTTTCAACTGCATGTCTAGTATAGTTTTCAAAATCAATAATTTAGCCACTACAATGTACCATAAAATTTTGTTCAAGTGGTGCAAGTCAACATATGTATTATCTTATCACTCTGAATATGCATTCAACATTCAATGCTTCCAAATGGCTAATGTACATGATGTCATGATCAAATGAACGCATGGCATGTGATGAAGTCAATGTCTAAAGGATATGACTTGAATCATGCATAGTTAGAAGCACACATTAATAAACATTCAATAGCAGTAACTAGATTAAAATTTTTAACAACACAAACAATTAGGAATTTGTTTAACTATATGAACCAAATAAAAAATTGGGTTAAAATGACAATTTGGCCCTTAAACTAGAGGCCCAAGAGTATTTGGAATCCTAAACTCGTTTTTTATGCATTTTCGCCCCTAAACATTTAAGATCATGGCAATCTCTCACTGTCTTTAATTTTGACAATTAGTTGATTAGAAAATGACAAAAAAGGGCCTAAAAATAACAATTAAAGTTAACGGCAGGGGACAAATCACCACGATATTAAATGTTTAGGGATAAAAAAGCACCAAAAATGAGTTTAGGATCCTAATTGCTCCTAAACCTATAGTTTAAGGACCAAATTGTCATTTTATCCTGAAAATTGAGTGAAATTTCAGGGGTAAAAAGATATTTGATCAAGAATAATCATCAATATAAATAAAAGCTACTAGAACTAGAAGCCACATTGTACACTAAGTTCAACATACGGAGCCCAAGATATAGTCAAGTGAAATCTAAAAATATTTGAGAATTTCAATGTATGATAGAGCTGTGGAGGACCGGATCATACTGTGATATTTCCCATTGATAACTTGTCAAGCTGATTGAAAGTGCCATTGCTTGTGGTTGCATGTGCATTCAGCTTAACTCCGTTATCAGTAGCAGCAACAGGCAGCAGAACAGGCAGCAGTATAAGGCCAGACAAAACTAGTATACCCAACACTGCAACATTACAACATTATTAACCACTCCAAACACACACAGTTCATTTAAAAATCATAATGTATCTAGGTCAATATATATATGTATATATATATATATATATGAAACTATAGAGGGTCTCATACATTTGCAGAAAATCCGACATAAGACTATTTAACTTTTTTGTTAATTAAAGTATATGTTTAGTTTTTCTTTCTATCAAAATAACTTAAACCAATTTGACAGGACTTACTTTAAACTTATATATCCATTGTTTAGTTAATTAATGTGAAACTTTTTTTAATACATTCTAATATTCCTCCAACTATTTTTTTTTCTTTTTGCCTTTATATTTCATTCATTCATTTCTTCTCATTGCCTAGGCTTGTACTTCTTTTTGAGTCTCATAGGTCTTGGGTCCACAATCTTCTTCTTCTTCTTTTGTCCTCTCTCATTTTTTTTTTATCCTAGATCGAATGGCTCTGATACCGTATTATACGTTTTGTTGATTAAGGCAATCCCTCTTGTCTCCATTATAAGACACCTCCAATTACCTTACCAGAACCAAGGAAATGTAGTTAAATTATTAACTTTGTTTAAACATAGAATAACTTCCAATTTTATGCCTATTTAAATGAAAATTTTTTAAATTTATATTATATTCTCCAAAAAATAATTCTAGAAAGTTTTCTATAATAAGGACCAGAGGGAGTATATAATAAGACTGTCTTTCTATTAAAATAGTTTAAGTCAATTTCATAAGACTTACTTTGAACTTATACACCCTCAATCCCTTCTTTAGGTAATCAATGTGAGAATAGAGACACACTGTTCAAGGCCTTGAACAATGCGGCTTCTTACAACTTTTATAAATATATTGATCATTTCAGCTACATTTTATTTTTTTGTGATAGATTTAGCTTCATCTAGTTGAAAAGGGAGGAAGGATGGGGAATTTTTGGAAGAGATTAATGTATAAATGATGAGCAGACTGCAGATAGGCATGGCGATGGGAAAATATGGACTAGTCATGGAACCAGTAAAAGTACGATTTAAGGTTCGTTAGTCTCTCTTTGCATTCGAACAAATCGTAAATAAATTCAAATTTGGTAAATTTGATCATGATTATTTTCGATGAGAAATAACAAGAATAACGACAAAATTACAGGGAATAAATATCAAATTTCACCAAGCGACAATCAAAAACATAAAAAAACCTAAAAAAAAATAAGAGGGAAATAGGAAGATGATAATTGATAAATGTATTTTAAGAGGAAGAAGCCATTGGCTGTTCTGCTTTTTATTATTTATTGTAGGAAGGTACTTGACTGAATGTTATATAATTTAAAAATAATCACATGATCAAGCCAAGTTCGGTCAAACTGGCTAATAATGCTCTGGCTTGGCTTCACTACAATTTTTTTTAAAAAAAAAAGATTGTCTCAATGTCACCGGACCAGCTTTTTGCACCCTAAGAGTAAGCTTAATTCTCACAACAATATAAAAAATTAGAAATAGATTAAGCATGTGTTGAAACTACGTTTCTTTGACAAGAGGATTTAGGAGCACACATGTGAAACTCCTTTTAGATATATCAATTTAAAAAAAAAAAAAACTAGCACAGGTCTTCACTTGCAACTTTAGACTAAAATTAGGCTTCAACAGTAACTATATAGCCTCTAATTAGTTTATTTTTTTGGTTAATAAAAACGATTTATCAAAATAGAAGTAAAACAAACCTTGTGTATAATTCAAATAATAATTTTCACACCTGCTCTCCTTTCTACTTTGTAAGAGGATAAGCTTTTTGACCATCAAATCAAATTCACATAAAATGATAACCATTACTATTGTTCTAATTTTGTTTCTTTTAATTCCTAAAATCGAACTGTTAGAGCAAAGAATTCACCAGCATAAATTTAAATTAACAAAAAAGGTACAAATAAAAAAAATTAAAGAACAAGTACACGACATACCGGTGCTGAGGAAGACAAAATAAACAGCAGTATCGACCCCAGACATGGTGACAACGTTCTTCTCCGAAGACGACAAGGCCTCTTTGATCCAAGCGAAAGGGTTCCGGGTCTTGGAGCTGCCTTCGAACGGGTCCATCCCCTTGAGGATCCGATTCGGGTAGTAAACGACATTGTTGCCTGGTTTCGCCGAGAGCCAAGCGAAGAGGAGCATCAAAACGACGAAAATGATAAAGGAGGTTGAAAGTGAGGTCAAAAACGACGCGAAATCCATGTCTGTCTCCCTCTAGCTACCAGAACTCAAAACCACAAGGAGACACAGGCAGCCTCTTCCTCCTTCAAAGTCGTTTCAGTTTGAAGAAAGCCAAAATCAAGAGAGTGAGCTAAAAGAGTAACTACGGACGGGTAAAGAGATGAATAGTAACCGTAGGAAATGGAAAAGGAAACCGTTAGAGTAGAGAGAGAGAGAGAAAGAGAGAGAGAGAGGAGCAGAGCTGGCGGCAGTGATGGCGGTAGATGAGAGTAATGAAGAGTGAGAGGGATGTGTGTCATTGTGGGAAAGAGGACTCTCCTTCTCTTTTCTTTTCTTTTTTTTTCTATTTTTTTAATTAAATAAATAATATCAAGGATGGAAATGAGAGAAGTAAAAGAAAAAAAATAACAACAAAAATTATTTAATAAAATAATATTAAAGGCGAAGATGGGAGAAGTGAAGAGGAAAAAAAAAAAAAAAATGAAAGGAGAGTCCCCTCTCCCTTCATTGTGTGGGACAGCTTGGCTTTTATAGATTTTGAATTTTAATAATTATAAATTTAATTTTTGATAATTTAATTTAACTGTAAACTGCTAGCCTTTAAATTAAATGACACGGTAAAGTAACCTACTACATGTCTTTTGTGCGGTGGTAACTTAGTTTGCCGCAGGTGCTATGTAAGCTGCATATCTTCTATTAATAATAGGAATAGGAAAGCCTATGATAAAATTATAAATTGTTAAAAAAATTAATTTTAAAATTTTAAAGAAAAAGAGATCATATATAAATTATTTTAAATTTATATATTTTAATATATAATTTACTTATAAACTATTATTTTCTACATTTAAAAATATAAGATATTTTTTATTAAATTTCATCTTTAATAAAGTAGTTACCTACTTTTAAATTAGCTTTATTTTTTTATATTTATCCATATTAAATACCTTATAATGAATATAAAATTATTCATCAATAAAGGTATTTTTGTACAAACAATATAATAATTATACTTTAAAAAATTAAAAATATTTTACATTTGTTGATATTTAATTTTTAAAAAATATTTTATATTTTTAAATAAAGGAAGTACTTGTTACCACTTACAGGAATAAGGCCACCTTGTTGGCTTAGAAGAGGCCATGACTTCTTATCCAAATGTTTGTTTGCCCGTGTGAGTATTCGTTTTAGAAGAAGATTTTCTTTTCTTCTATTTTCATCCTCTTCCTCCTTATTCCTCACTTATTATTAGATTAAAATTTAGATGGCTCATGTTTAATTTTATAAAATTATTATTAAATTATTAAATTAAAAAAATAAATATAATATCTAAAATTATTATTAAGAAATTAAATTAAAACTATTTAAATTTTAATTTAATTATTATAAATTGGGAAGAGGTATCAAAGATGAGAAGAGGGAGGGGGAGAATCGTCTCATGCGTCTCGCTTCCTTCAGAAGGAGCACACTGTAGACTGTTGATAAAGTTTGGGGGAAAATAAAAGAAAGAAATAATTTAATTTAATTTAATTTTGTTTTTAAGAGAAGGGACGGGATTTGATTTGATGCAACATGGGCGATGCCGACATGAAGAGTGATGTCGACGATAGATTCTCTTAGTTAAGAAAAATTTTAAAAACATAAAAATTAATGGAACATGGACATGTTGAAACATATTTTTTCCCTTAAAAAAATTGATGGGACATGACGAGGTAGCGTATTCTTTATTAATTATTTATGCACAACTCTGACAATTTAGGATGATGAAATTTTCACACCCTCGAACTTTCCACTCCCTCCCATTATACATATTTTATAAAATTATTTAATTATATTTATAAATTACAATATAATTTTTTAAATAATATTTAAAAAATATTTTTAAATTATTCTCTATAAAAAAAGTAAGATAATATTTTATTTAAAATTTATTCAACAAATTTAAAGAGTGATATCATTTTTTTCTTCATGAAAAATAAATTTAAAAATATTTTTTAAATATTATATAAAAAGCCGTACAGTAGCTTATAAATATATTTTTTATATAAAACATATTTAAAATTTTATACACATTTATTTCTTTTATTTTTTACATTTATATTCATGAGATTAATACAAATGATTTATAATAAAAGTCAGAGGAGTATCAATTGTTAATTAAGTTTTTTAAATTTAATTTTTTTATTATTTTGATCTTTTATTTGTTTAAATTATTATGTTAGTTTAAAGCACAAATTAATTTTTTTAATATATTGATGACTTGACATGTATATGTAACTAAATTAAAAAAATAATTTTTAATCAGTTTAATTTTTATCAAGATATTCCCTTATATTGTATTTTTTCTTTTATTTTTAAATTTTTTTCTTTTTTTATTTAAATAGTTACATTTCTTTTCATTAGTTACATGGCTATCATTAATATTTTCTTATTCATATTAGTAAATCTTAAAAGTATTACCTCTTCTTTAAACGATAAAAACAAAATTAATAATTGAGGTAAACTTAAATGGTTAAATTTTTAAAAATTAAATTTAAAAAATTAAATCGATAATTGAGGCAAATTTGAAGGATCATCTCTTATATTTCATGTTGATGTGTAGATTATTTACATTAAAAATAAAAAATCTAAATTTAAAATATAAAATCCAGGAGAATTCATGATTGAATTTTACAAATTAAATGTCACTTAAAATTTCAAAAGAGTTACTCCCTCCGTTAAAAAATGTAAAGTATTTTTAACTAAATCTCATCTTTCAATAAAATAGTTACCTACTTTTTAACTAACTTTATCTTTTCATATTTACCTCTATTAAATACCCTTCAATAAATATAAAGTTATTATTAAAAAGGATAATTTAAAAAAGGCAATAATTATATTATGTATTAAATTTTTAAATATTTAAATTTTTAAAAAATATTTTATATTTTTTAACAATGGGAGTATATGTGATTTAAACCTCTTCTCCTTATTTTAATAAAAGTAAACCTTATCCTTGCAAACCTCTTTTTGCATTACGAGAGTGGGTCTTTGTACCGTGTGTGTTCGGGTGCTGTTTGCCATGAGTTGTGATTTAAATCTCTTTTTCTTTTTAATAGTTTAGAACATGAAACCAACACGCACAACTAGATGAATAAATTTTAACAAAGAAACTAATTTGATGAACCCAAATACTAAAAAAAAGTAGTGATGGATTAATTGGAGATATTTTTTTTTTTGGACAAACAAAATTCATCACTCAAAAGTGAAGTAATTACATCACAGGATAAAAGATCAAAATTTGCTACTCATAAAGAAAGCAAAGGGGGAGGGGGATTAACATCCCAACCCATAGGGCAAAACCCCTTGTAACAAGCTTTGGCTACCCAATCACTAGCCAAGATAGCACACCTAGTGATCCAGTGCATGGACCAAGACTTATTGTTGATAAAAGACCGATGATTTCATTAACGAAGACAATACAATTCCATTTTAGGCATTGGTAGCCAAAATTGATCGTATCAGCTAAAAGTTTGCAATCTGTTTGAACAATCAGACTAACAATACCTTGAGAGGCAGCGAGATGTAAAGCTTTAAGGACAGCACGTGTTTCAACCATGAAAGAGGAAGTACCTGAGAAAGTTTCACCATGTAAGGAGATGATAGAGCCCATATTGTCCTTGAAAATGATTCCTGCGCTTGCCTTTACAGCATTAGAATGAAAAGCTACGTCTACATTGCCTTTCAGAAAGTTTGGATCAGGGGGTTTCCAATTTTCATTCCTAATCCGGTCAGTGTTATCTGATTAAGGATTGTTAGATGATCAAGCCATCCATTAAAGCTCCCGAATTCACAAAGAGAGTTATCAGCATTTCTAACTACAACTTCAGGACAAAGTCTCTTACCTTAAAAGTTTTAGAACATCTATGCTTCCAAATATGCCAAGCTAAAGTAGCAATCAAAGCAATGTGCAAGTCATCAGCGTAGTCAGAATAAATAAAATTAGAAAACCAGTTATCGAAACGAGTTACCTGTAGTTCATCCATTCGGATAGTTAAAGAGCTTGCAAACCAGACTTTTTGAGCCCAATCACAAAGTAGTAACACATGCTCATAAGTTTCAGCTTGGGAGAGACAGCACAGGTATAGAGGGGTGGTTCCGCATTTTCTCTTCCATAATCTCTCATTTGAGGAGACAGCACCATGAAGGAAGCACCGGAGGAAGTGCTTAATTTTACTAGGCACTCGAATTTTCCATATATCCTTCCAAAGAGAATCGGTCATCTTTGACGAGTATAGCCCACAAGTCATTGGGGTTGGATAAAAGTCTCTAGCATTGTTTTGCCAATAGAGCTTTATTGAAAGCTATGAAGTCTTTAAAGCCAAGTCCCCCTTCATTTTTCCAATCAGACAGTTTACACCAAAGAAAGCCAATGAATTCTGTGTTCGTTGTCTTTTTGTCCCCACCAAAAGTTAGCAATGATACTATTGAGGTCTTTGCATACTTGAACTGGGAAAAAAAAGCAAGTCATGGGGTATGCGGGAATGGCATTTGCTTTTGCTTCAATGAGAATTTCTTTACCAGCAGGTGAGAGAAGCTTACTTTTCCAACATCACCTTGTTTTGAACTCAATCTTGAACTACCTTTAATATAAAACTTCACTACAACAGAATAAACTAAATATAACGTCTTATATTTGACAATTATAAGTGTAAAATAATAAATAAAAAAGACATTAAATATTTGACAGTTGTTTCATAACAACCGTCAAGTATTTAGTATATATTTAACAATTATATTGACGTAACCGTCAAATATATCTGCATCCCATATTTAATTTTTTTTATAAATATATTTGACGCTTATTTGTTAATAACCGTCAAGTATATTTTGGTGTACTTGATAGTTATTTGTAAACAAGCGTCAAATATATAGTTTAAAAGAAAAAATAAAAAAATTAATTACTTGATGCTTGTTTACAAATAACCGTCAAGTATGTTTGCATTTTATTTAACATTTATTTAATAACAAGTGTCAAGTAAGGAATACTTGACGAAATAACTGTTAAGTATGGCCTTTTAAATTTACGCTCTAGAATATTTCATTTTTATATTTTTGCAACTCAAACGTTTTTGAAAACACACCTAGGGTGCTCGAAAATCATTTTCCGTCACTGAAATTGCCCAAAAACACAGATTTAGACTCGATTCTTCTTGGGTTTTGCTCGTGAGTTTCATTTTTTAGGGTTCGTGGGTTGTTCGTTCATCCAAGTCTTCATTTCGTGCGT